ACCCCCCTATAATTACGGTCCCTATAATTACGATTCCTATAAAACTACGAAAAAATATACGTATTTTGGAAATGTTGAGTCGGATTAGTGTAGAATCGATTAATTTTATGGAAGAAAACCTTTCAATCAGCCGTAGTCCGTAAACTTGACACGTGTCGGGCTTTGATTGGAACGACTTGTAAGAAATCGGATTCCTAATAAATTGGAACGTATCTATATCTTATAGGGGGGTCGACTGTATATCCTTATTGCTAAGGTTTCTGTACAAGAGTGTTTTGTAAAAATAACATGTTTGTTGCATGCAGCCATGTGAGTTTTTTTGTTTTTGTTTCTAATGGAAATGTTTTCTTTGTGTCCTGAAATTTCACCTGATTTGGTTGCATTTAAATTGCTAAATATCTCTATGAATGGTATTTTAATTATGAGTACTCAGTACTTTTGACTAAATTAAAATTAATCTCAGTTTGTTTTGATTTGCTCTTATAGTATTGTTGATTATCAATCATAAAGGGAAATGTGATTGGAGAAGACCATCTCCACTGCATCCTGTATACTATTTAGGTATCTTTATCTTTATTTATTCCCGATACCGCCAGAGCATAATCGGATTAAATACAGAGATATATCAAAGAACAGGTAAATACATACATAATAACAGAGAGATAACATATAAACAGTATGACAATAGAGAAGTATGAACAGATGGTGAGATGACCGATACAAGTCAACTGATATGATACATAACTTGAGAGTAGAATAACATGTACAGTAGTATAAAATAGACAATACTAATAGTAATAATAAAAATTACACAGATCTATGTTGCAGCAGAATATGTACAATAATGTGCAGGGAGCAAATGAAGATAGTACCCAATGACAGACATGACCAACTTAATGAATGATGGAGCGTATGTGATACTTATGAATCAATTTTTTTAATGCTTTGTAGGTGTCACTATTCTTAAGGACAGGAAGTTCATAAGGCCAATTAATACCCCTCTGGCTAAGAGCAAGGGCAAGCTCATGTCTAGCATCCTCAGTCATTGGACACATCTATGTATAGTGCTCAACCCCATCAAGGCAATTACAGATGGTACAGTTGTCTGTTGCAGATTTGCCAAACCTCTGCAAGTAGGCCCCGAATCTCCCATGCCCAGTGAAGAATTGGGTGGTTTCAAAGTTCGGACTAACCCAGTGGTGAAAAAGTGGTCATGAATAGATGGAAAAAACTTCATGGCAAGGCCATTCCATCTCTGCTGCCAGAGATCCAAGCTGTAGTTCCAATGTTGAAGCTTAAGAAAAGAGGCAGGTAGCACTGAATACTTGAAAGGGTCAGAGGTACTGATTGTTGCAGCCTTCCTGGCAAGTAGAGCTGCATGTTCATTACCTAGGACACCCTGATGACCTCTCACCCATTCGAGGGAATAGGGGTTCTGAGCACAAGGTATATGATTTAGAACCTTCCTAACCAGAGGGTGAAGGTTGTTGGGATTCCTAAGTATGTTGATTGCTGAAGCACTATCAAAGCAAATTGTAACTCTACTTCCAGTAAGATTGGCTTCACACCGTTAACAGCCATGTAAATGGCACAGAGTTCTGCCTGGAATATAGAGCAGTCAAGATGAAGAGTGCCACTATTTAGATAATACCACTGCCATAAAGGGTGACATTAGTTGTTGGAAACTACTGCTCTAGTGTTTTAAAAGAAAATTTGCTGTTTATCTAAAACATGCTGCTTTAAACAAATCTCAAATCTCTTCAAACCATGTGGCCAACTTATATTTTGTATCATAGAATTTTATAGTATTTCATAGTTTTTGTTAGTCTTGTTTTAAATATTGTTAGGCAATATTTAACCTATAAGTTGTTACATGTAGTTCAATTAAATAATAATAAATCATGATAGAGAATATTTTATAATAGGTTCCCAACTCTTTTGCTTACCAAACCTTTTTAAAGTCAGATATAATTTGCTAACCACTTGATATAAAATAAGAATAAATTACTAACAGGATGAAATTGAATAGAAATTAATAATAATAATTTTTTGTAAACATAAGTTAAAAGTCAAAATTGTGTGAATTCCTTAAATTTAAAGATATGTTAGTTGTTATTATATACTAGTAGCCCAGAATGCTCCCTAGTGGGCATTCTAGCAGCAGCAGTGTCATTCTGTACTATAGATAATAAATTCATATCAATAATAAATTCCTATTACAAATAAAAATAATAATATATTGAATTACACTGTTATAAATAAAATACTGTATATATTGTTATAAATAAATTATACTGCTAATTTAAATAATAGCTGAAAATCATTGCTAGGGATGCCCCTAGTGGGCATTCTGTGACAGATTACAGATATACAAACAGTGGGATCAATGGCTTTTATAAGAAGATAGCATTATTTTTTATTATATTTTTAAATAAAAATTTAAAAATTTGTCCAGTGACTCTCCAAATGATCTCTCATAGTTTACTAGTCTTAGGTAAAACTGATCCTTCAGTTTGCTAGCAACTAGGTTGGTAACTGTTTTAGAATATTCTCTAACATCAAAAGTTATTGTTGTTATAATTCTAATTTTTATGGATAATATGTTTTATTCAATTTAAAATATTACTAAAAGTTGATTTGTTTTAGGTACCAATTTGTAATGAATGTATGGTAATTGATCATAAGCAGCCAGATCATCAGTATGAACGAGCATCAGATGTAGAACAAAAACACCGGGAAGAATTGGAAAACTTGATGACAGAAAGTAAAAGCAAAGTTCAGTTTTGTGAAGAAGCGACTTCTGTTCTTCAAACATGTTTATCTGAATTACAGTTGCAGCGTGATAATGCAAAATCTCTTATCGAAGTAAGAGAGAGATGAATTTATTGAATTATATTTGTTGTTAACATAAATTTAAAAATTGGAACAGTTAATCTTTTGTTTAGTATGTTGAAATTTTCATATAGCTAGGTCATCATTTATCTATTAATAATCTCAAATATTTTGTTATTTTGAATTGTTTAAGAAATCAGTAGGTAGATATTACATGATAATTATGAAGTTTTAGTACCAATGTAATTATAAATTAATTTTTTTAATTATAGGATTTGTTAAATTAGTTTCATATATGTTTATATAAGTTTCCTAATTAGTTCCATATATTGTAAAATACACATGTATAGTATATGTGCAAATTTCTCTAATGCAATGCTTCATGCCAGTAGACATTAAACATTATATTCAACTTTAGATATTAGCAACAATGTAAAATTAACAGTTTTGAAATAATTACAAATATTGAATGGTAAAATTTCAAGTTTATACATTACTTATTTCATTCAAATTGTCTGAAATTGTTATTTCAGACAATTTTCAGACAAATTCAGACAACGAATGATGTTAAAGTGACAAGATATGATGTGTATATATGATGAAATGAAAAAAGTAACAGTTTAAGCAAACAATTTTTTTCTATCTGTACAGGAATAATAAATCTGTCCAAAATATCAATAATTTGAAACAAACTTTTTTACCATTTGTGGTTTGAACACTATTTATTTTGAATTTATATAAGAGTAACTTATAAAAAATATGCTCATTCATATAAAATTACAGTATGCTACAAAGATTTGGTGCATACATTAGCAAATTGTCAATTTTTAACCTTTGTAGTGTTTATTACTTTTCATTTGTATCTTATTTCACAAAAAAGTTATTATATATCTTATATCAAATGATTGTATAATCATTTTAATGATTTAAGATTATTAATAATTTTGAATAAAAATATTTTTTTACTGTATCATTAAATATTCTTATGTTTTGCAATATTATTGATTCAGGAAAGAAAAATGATTGTTTACAGATTTGTTGTATTCTACTAAGAGTTACTTATGGCTGTCATAGAATTCTTTTATTTAAAATAAACTATTATTTTTGACAGAAACATGTTTGTTTTAGGTATTAGAGTGTAGTATTCAGTTTCAGCTTTGCATGAAATTCAATATTGCATAAGTTGGAAATATGTTTTAACTCTGCAGTTGTGGTATGGATTCTGAAAACATGCATCTAATATTAATTTTCTTAATATTTTTTTATGGTAATTGTATATATATTTAACTTATCTCAAATTTCATAACTTCAGGTCTCATATTTATCCTATTTTTCTTACTAAAAAGTGCATTTTTGTTTTGTTTTTATTGTTTGAAATGTGACCACTTAAAAAGAGAATATCAGAAAAGAAAACAAACTGTATTCCCTGTTTTGTTGTTATAGAACATGTTTATCAAGAATTGGAGTAATAATAATGCAGGAATGTGCTAACTTTTCAAAATGTTGAATGCATATCTTTAATGTATTTTTAAAATGGATAATGTCTAGAATGCCATAGATTCTACACTGCAGTTGGGTTTTAATCATCATTAAATTTGCTTAAAACAAATGTCAGGGTTTGATAATAGGTTTTGTTGTGTATCAATTGACTGAAAGGTTAAAAGAAACTTTAATACATGTTAAAAATTATTTTAGTGTTTTTAAATAAAAAAGAAATTTGCAGCCTCTATTGAATGAACATTTCAAAATTAAAACTATAAAATATTTTCTTAAAATAAAAAATAACAAATTCGAAATAGAAATAAATACAAATAAGAAAGGATTAAAGCATCTGCACTTGATGTAAATGTATGAATGGAACGGGTAAAAATTTAAACGTCTTAATTGAGATAATGTCTGACTGGTTTCATTTTTCTTTACAAATGTGACTAAAGAAAATTTTTATTTCACAGTTTGCTTATTTTCATTATATATATAATTACTTTTTTTTTTATTTTAGGAGACTTTTCAAAGTTATAAAGTAATACTGGAAAAATGTCAAGAAGAAATTATCCAAGAATTAAAATTAATACATTCTGCTCAAGAATTACACATCATGGATACTTTCCATAATGTAGAGAAAACAATTGAAAAAATTGAAGATGCATGGAAATTTACTGATCGATTATTGAAGCATGGAAATACAATAGAGATTCTATCTTTAAAACAGGTAATTGAAATTTCTTTGTACTTTTATATCAATGTACAGTGGAACCCCGTTTATCTGACTGAAATGGGATTGGGTTCAATCTGCATAATCCGGAAAATTCATTAACAACATAAATAACACAGTTTAGATGTACTGGTACATTATATTTTATTTATTGCACATTATATATACTTTTACAACAATATTAACAGTATAAAGCAAAAGACATTTACATACAGTATTAGTTTATTGTTTTCTATCAGCTGGTACAGTACATATACATAAGTTTCCTCACCATTTATATGGGGTAGAACTTTTTATAACCTTTTTCAAAGTTAGCCAGTAATTAGGCTTAGCACTTCATAGGGAAACAAAAAAGGACTAATTTGAATTGAAGTTAATTGTGATATACTGTACTGTATTTATTTTTGTTACCAGATCCGTCATTATAAAGTCACAGGTGTTCAAAATTGGCATTGAGCCAAGGGAAAACAGTATGCTTACAGCTGCAACATTATACTCAGGCAAGAATATACTATTTTTAAGTTAGTTCTTTTATTTTTTGCATATATAGGTTTTCTATATGTTCATCTTCCTTATTCTGGATAAACCAGAGATCTGGATTAATGGGGTTCCAATGTATTATGGTTGAATTAAATATTTAAAAATCTTTGTTTCAAATTTAAAACATAATTGTCTTGCATTGGGAAATTTTACTAAATATACATTGTCTTGCATTTAAAAAACATATTGTAAAAATACAAATTGTCTTACATATTTAGTAAAATTCTGGATTCTATAATTAAATATTTAACTATATAATTTCTATTACCATTTTAGTAGATGTAATCAAGATTGCAAAAGTTTACTTTTCTTAGGCTTTTGAAATGAAATACAGTGGAACTTGGTTAACTTGAATCAGTTGAGGGAAAATTTGAAGTTTGAGTTAAAAAGTTTTGAGTTACAGAGGTTTAGCTAAAAATCAACAGAGGTTTGCTACAAAGGTTTACCAATTTATTTGCTGTAATTTATAATTGTAAAAAACAATATAAGAACATCACAATTAGCAAAACACCTGTGTAAACATGTTCAAACTTGAAAATGATATTAAATAGAATTGGACTGTAATTGTTTTTTAAAATTAATATATGAAAAATCCATTTTTTTATTACATCAGCTAGTCAGAGAAATTCATCAGCAATTAAATAAAATAAAAAAATGTTTGGCAAAAAAGGGCAGGTTCAAATTGCAGTTACAGTATGTAAGTCACACATGCTGTCTGAAAGCGTCATCCCTGTCTGCCATTACGTAACATAATAATTATTTTTAGTCATATGTGGTTCTGCAATTAATAGAATGTTTCTGATTAGTTTGTTTGATAGATGAATGTTAATTATTTTATTTAATGGAAAGTTAAAATTTCAGAGAGTTTATGAAAATACTGTATTAAAACCTCATTCAAATTAAACAGTTTTACAAATTTAAGGTTACTGGTTTAACATGTAAATCCGTATGCTAGATCAGTGTTCCGCAACCGGTGTGCTGTCACATGGTGAAAGGTGTGACATGAACTTTTACATATTCTGTTAATTTCAAGTTTTATTTATATATTTTTATCACAGTTGTTGTGTTTCTTAAGCTGGTATTTCATTCTCTGCCTCAGCACTGATGAAATAAGATGATGATTGTTTCTTCTTTATTACAAGCCATGCATTTTTATGTATTCTAAGAAATTATATGTAAAATAAATTTGCTCACAGGTTTGATGTCTTTTAATAACAATAATAACAGGTTAGTGGCATAATGTAATTCCATTAATAGTATCATATCATACGTTTTTGAGGGAAATAACATTTTGGTGTGCCGTGTTGAGTCGTGGGGGTGCCGCAAGTAGAAAAAGGTTGTGGAACACTGTGTTAGATGATCAAGGGAAAGAAAATAATCTTTAGTAAATGTGACTTTGACTTAACCAGGTTTCACTATAGTTAGAAAAACTTAATTCTGTTGTTTCTTAAATTCCAAAAGTCAAATTTTATTGTAACTGTTTTTTTTAATAATTTATACATTGTTTTGTCTTATAAATTCTAAAAACTTTTTAACTTTTTAATTTTATAATAATTTTACCTAAATATATACTCTATTACCTGTTACTATATTACAATCAAATCCTGTTATTACATTATTGGTTTTATGGGAAGTTCGTGTTAATGTGAAGCAGATTTGTGGTCCCTGTGGTGAGGATAGGCATTTCTATGTTAACAGGTTCAGGTAAAACAGAATATTGTAAAATATCAATAAGTTAAAAACACAACTACATTTTCATTATTTGTTGTTGATGATAACCATTGTCGTTGCCGACCCTTGGTCATCATATGGATAACAATTCTCCAATGCTGTCTGTTCCTGACAGCTTCCTTCAGCTGCCACATTGTCATGCTGCAATAAGCCTTGATTGTGTCTAGCCATTGAGTATAAGGTATTGTATTTGGTTTTAGTGCTTATATCTTTGCTCTTCCAGCACCTCTCCATTCCTAGCTTGGCTGATTGACTTAGCATTATTCTTCTCTTTATATTTGAACTGAATATCATTGTGGCTTTGTCTACATTAGCAGTTGTCAGGATTTTTAAAATTTTTTTTAATACATATTCAGAAACAGTCTAGCGGCTTCACTTCTTATTTTGACCTTCAGAATTAGTTGTTCTAGATCCTATTGGTTTTCAGCAAGGAGCATAGTATCATCTGCATAGCAGAGGTTGTTTATATTCCTGCTTCCAATCTTAACACTGATGTTGGATTCATTCAGCTTGGCTGTTCTCATGATTGCCTCAGCATAGATGTTGAAAAGTATTGGTGATAGAATGCACACTTGGTGCACTCCCTTGCTGATCTTAATCCAGTTGGTGTCTCCAAAAGGAGTCCTTACTGCATGAGATAGAATAATCTTATCAGTTCAATGAGATGAGATGGCACTCCCATTTGTGAGAGGCAGGCCCACGGTTTTGTATGTTTTATGCAATCAAATGCCTTGGCATAGTCAATGAAGCAGATGATAGGTCCTTTTGATATTCTCTTGCTTCTTGCATGATTTGTCTGAGATTTGAGATTGGTCATGGGTGCCTCTGTTTTTTTTTTAAACCAGCTTAGACATCTGGCAATTCCCACTCTACAATGGCTGTAAGCCATTTTTGTAAAATCTTCAGCAGTATTTTGTTTGCATGTGGAATTAGTGCAATGGTCTGGTAGTTTGAAAAGTCATGTGAGTCACCCTTCATGGGAATTGGTATGAAGATATGGAGTGTGTCCAATCTTTGGGCCATCATTTAGTTTCTCAGATCCTCTGGCATAAAGTGGGTAGAGTTCTTTTGGGTATTACTTGAAGCAGTTCTGCTGGTAAGTTATCAATGTCTGGTGCTTTGTTCCTTACTAATTGGCTTACAGCCCATTGAAATTCTATTTCTGTTACAGAAGGATCATGTTCTATGCTTTCCTGCTTTTTAGCTGGCTGTAGGTGATGCTGATGTCAGCATAAAGTTCCACAATATAATCTTGCCAGTGATTCTTGATAGTTATCTGGTCATGCAGTTTCTTGCCATCTTGGTCCATTTTCATTGTTTGTCTAGGAGCAAATGAAGTGTGTGTATTTTTCACATGGGGGAAAAAAAGATCTAGTTTGCCCTTTTGTGCTGGTGTCTTCTATCTCTTTGCAGTAGTTAGCCTGGTAGTTTTCTTTCTCTTTTCTTGTTGCTCTTTGAAACTCAGCATTTAGTCTTTTAAATTCTGTCTTCCCATCAGCTTTAGCTTCCCATCTAAGATTAGCAATTTCAATTGTTTCTTCAGTGAGCCATATAGATTTTTAATGGTGTTTTAAGGGGAATGTGGTGTTCAGCTGCATCAGTGATATGATATATTTTTATTTCTTCCTGTAGATTGTCAGGTCTGCTGTTGGGATTGTTCAATACTTCTAAGCGGTTTATAATTTCAACTGCATATGTTGGTGGTATCCTATCAACATCAAACCTTTGTCTGGGCAGTGATCTTTTGGCTGCAAAGTTTAAGTTTGAATTTGGCAACTAGTAGTTGGTGATTGGAACCACAGTCTGTACCAGAGAAAGTTTTAACTGATTGTATTGAGTTAGCCCATTTTTTTTGTTGTGCAAGATGTAGTCAATCTGGTTTTGATGTAAGCAATTTGGAGAAGTCCATGTGTAAAACCATTGCTTAGTTTGGCAGAACCATGTGTTCATGATTTTGAAGTGATGTTTCTAGCAGAATTGAATGAGACGATCCCCAGAGTCATTTCTTTTTCCCAAGCTGAACTGTTTGCAGACTTCTGTTTTAGATTTGTCTTTCACATTTGCATTAAAGTCACTGGTGATGACGATGATGTCTTTTCTTGATGTTTCATTTAATGACTTTTGAATTTGTGAGTGGAAATCATCCAACTCCTCTAGAGAGGCATCAGTGGTGGGGGAATATACTTACATTACTGTAATATGACGAAGCTTTCCATTAATATGGGGATGGTCAGTATACAATCATTTATAGTTCTAAAACACTCAACAGATCTTGATTTGTTGAGGTTTTAGTTTCTCAACTGGATTTATAGATCTTGCTATTTTCTTTGTTACAATGAAAGCTACTCATTTTCTCCTGATGGAATCATCTTTGAAGTAGTAAATAGTGAAGTCCTGTGTGGGATTGTTAGTCCCCCATCGGGAGCCTCCCCAGGTGGCGGATAGGGGAAGGCTTCCCAGATATGGATGGTACCGAGGAAATGAAATACTTGGGGCGGACCAAAACTAACAATAGTCACACCTGTCTCAGAATGAGCGGTGACCAGCAGTGTCTGTACTCCATGTGAGGAGTGGCTGAAACTATACAGGGGAAGGCAATGGAAACCACCCCAGTGAATTGCTACCAGGATATTATTATGGAGAAAAAAACACAAACAATGCCCCCTAGTTCTGGGCAGCCCTTGAATGGGTAGAGGGTGTGAAGAATCTCCCTGTTCAACATAGTA